CTTTTTCTGCAACATTTGAAAGGCTGGCCACATGTCACTGGTATTCCTGCTTCCTTTGCCACGGCCGGTGCAGGACTGCAGCTTCTCCCTACGCAAGCCTGGCTTGTGCTGCGCACGCTGCAGCGGCGAGCAGCAGCCAACGTGGGCAGATCTCATTTTCTTTTGATGACACTGCATTTTCAGTGCACAACTGCTCCAGCATCTTTCCCCCCGCCTCCCCCCCCAGTGAGCCTGAATTAGGAGAACAAAGTTGCTGAAAGCCTCGTCTTGCCCTTCCCCTCTCTTCCTGCACACAAAGTCTTCTTTCACGGACTCTGGGTTGAACTTTTATTTTTGTCAAACGGCTCAGCAAAGCTGACAGATTGACAGTCATTAAATATAAAAAACTTTATTTCACAATATCTGTAAATTACGTGTTTCAAATGAAAAATTACATTTGCTTAAGGCATAAAGTGTCTTTCTCAGGGTTTTTTTTTCCCCTCAATTTCTGCCTTTTTCCTATGAAGACTTAAAGTATTATTCTTTTTATTATGGTAATGTGAAAACCTCCTCCTTGCATCTCAAATTAAAAGAAGGAAAGCTTGCTATGTGCCTTGGATAATGATTCAGCTATTGATCCAGAAGATGCTTTATTAGATTATTTTGAGACAGCCAAATGTAATTTAATACCTATTTATTTTCTACTCTTATGCCAGTCCAAGACATAATCTTTTCTGCATGAAATTAGTACTTTCTCCTTTCAACCTCAAAGAAAGATTACACTATGCTTCTTTCTTGGACTAGTCTGGGTAACTTTTTCAACAAAACATTGATCTTGAGGGTTCTCGATCTTTTCTTTTGATACTTGGAAGCCAAAATCTCATCTGGATCAGTGGGTTCTAGGCTTGTCTGTCTTATTATGCATTAATGCAAGAACTAGTGATGTCAGATAAAACAGAGAGAGATTCCAGATGAGGAAAACAGACAAAGAGAAAAATTGAGCAGGTTTCATACAGGCAGAGAGAAGGAAGAGGAATGGCTTTCTTTTTACATAGTTACCTGTAACCTACAGAAGGGACTGCGTGATGGTACACCAGAATTGGAAGAGAGCACAAGAGTATTTAGGTCAGTCAAAATTAGGGTGTGCTTTTATACGACTGAGCCCAGCTACTCTGCAGGCAGCTATCGCTGGCACACACCATCTTGCTGTTCACACCTCCCACGAGCTGCCTCACAGGCCAGAACCTGCTGGCTTTTCTGTAGGGCTACGTATTGCCAGCTAATTCTGCTTGCTCCGGGGTCAGACGGGCACCAGTGCGGGAACCCAAAGCTGTGGATAGAAGGGAGAGGAGAGGGACTGCCAGCGGCTTGATGGGCTTACATCTAGCATTAAAAATGCTCCAATAATGAAGATCATCAGGAATTGCGTAGGGACCTCACAAAAGCAGAAGAATGAGGAATTTAAGGTTGCCAAATCTGGACTTACACACTGGAACACCTTGAACGGTTCATTTATGTCACCATCTAGCAGCACCTGTCACCGCGAGGCAGAACGAGGAACGGCTCGTTGACCTTCAGCTGTAGCCACAGCAGTGGGACAATTTAGGGTCCTCTCTCATGGTTCTGAAACTGTCCAAATCAAGCTGTCAGGGGAGTTTCTGATAGGCAGTCAAAATTGCTTCCCTCCTTACGAAAGGTCTCTCAAACTCCTGGACTCCAGACACAGGGTCGTGCGCGATTTCCCTCCTTTATTTCTCTGTTTGGGCCCTGGAAAGGGAGGAAGGGAAAAGGGCAGGGGGGATCTCTAGAGGGGAAAACTACTTTCTCTGAAACAAACAAAATTACAAGTTCAGTATCAAATAAAATGCTCCGATGAAAATAAACCCTGATCGCTCTTACGTCACAGGAAGCACCATGAACAAGAGGAAAGCAGCACAGTCCCCTGCCGTTCCACGCTGGCTGAACAACTCTTCCAGCAGCAGCACTGCCTCGCCCTTTGCCTGCTTTTTGCAGCCCCTTGAGGGATCCCCCAGGCTGTGAATGACTGGCGGGGGAGCCCCTTGCCATCACTCACACACCAGGTTTCATCCCTCCTGTTCCTTGCTAGACCTTTCTCTCATGTTTTTGGATTTAATGACAACAAATGCACCGGGGGATCAAACCCATACTGTCTCTGAACTGACAAAAAAATTACGAAGCATCATTAGACAGAGTAGAGGTGGCGGACCTGAGCGGGATCGGGGGCTTTGATTGCCCCTCTGCCTCTCCTCCCAGAGGGGTGCTGAGCTCTGTAACTGCTCCTGAACTCCTTGAACAGGCAGCAGTGAGGAGACACCAACCGTCAGACCGAACAGCACCAGCTGAATGGGGAGCAAGCTCTGTGAACACAGACGTGCCTGAAAAATTGAACTCTGCCTTCAAGCAGCACAAATGCCTGTCCTAATTGTACCTCATACTGCACGTTAAGTCGTCCAGATGACATCTTCTAGTGTTAATAAGCCATTTGTCCATCTGGTGCTTGCACAGATGACACGCCTTCTCAATGGCATTTTAAAAGTGAAAAGCATTAACTCTATAAAAGAAATTCCCCAAAAATCAACTCCAAACCGTGGTTGGTGAACGTGGATGTGACTGTGTAACTGCCTGACTGTAAACTGCACCGTGTAAACCCAATGTACTCGCGTTGATCCCAGGGAAGTGCTTATTTGCAAACAGTTTTAACGGGGAGAAACCAACAGCAGCAGCCGCTCGCATGACATTGCACGAACAGAACAAGGCACGAGTGCTGACCACTTCTTGTCTCCATACGGCTCCAGGACTCTGCCTGCGCTGGCAATCAGCTCGTATTTCCAGGCATGAGAGCTCAAATTAAGGAATCAGGCAGCAGTGTATGTGCCCAAAGCAGCTTCTGGCCCACATACATGGGGCCACATCTGTGAGGGATCATGGAGGTGGATCAGCAGCAGGAAGAATTCAGAGACAGATTTGTACCAGCAGCTGGGGTAGGTTTTACTCTTACCAATCAAACTTGCTGCAGAAAGTCTAGAAAAATCAGATTCCAGAGGCATGTCCAACTCTATACCTCTGTCAGTAGAAGACTCTTCCCTGCAGAGTATTTTTCTGGCACAGCCTGGCTTAGGCATGAAGGTAGCAGTAGGGCTCCCTTTCCCAGAGCATCACAGAGCAAGATGAGAGAATCTCAATTTAAACCAAAACATCTACACTGCAAACAAAGCCAGCCTTCCTGGAGAGCAGTAATTGGAAATACTCGCTTCTCTGCAGAGTTATAGAGTCTGGCAATTCTAAGCAGTTAAATTTTAGGGTAATATTACAGAAAATTGGTATTCTTGCAACACATTGTTCTAAAGGGAGCATCTTCACACCACCTTCCGCCAAGAGGAAATAACCAGGGAAGGGTTTTTCCTTTCTCCTGCCTCTTACTATTCTAGAGAGTAAGGACAGAACGTCCTCATTAACAACGGAAACTTCCGAACCAGCACGAGAAAGTGGGACGCACGCTGTATTTTTTCTGGACAGAATAACAGTCTTTTACTGATAAACAAACAGGACAAAATTGCTAATTACAGCCTGGAGCCAGGAAGACTTCCATCAGGAGGATCCCGCTGGAGTCTGAGCACCTGTTCTCACCAGGAAGCGATGTTTCACCTCCAAAGCACAGACCCGCATTAGCATGGCTGCAGCCTTTTATGAGGCCACAGCACCTCTCCAGCCATTAGACTGGACGGATTAAAACTGCTTCAATCCCATTCTCCTTGTACCAACCTGGCTTTTTGCCCAGCCTGGCCCACTGGACTTTGCAGGAGGCTTCTGTTTCAATTTTACCACCCACTTAATAGCTTGGATTTCTAAAGAGATCCTTCATAACTACAGCACACTACCATAAAATATTACAACAGGAGACACCATAGCAGTCTGCTCTTTCATTGCCCTGTGTGAGCGCAGGCAGATCCTTTCTTATGACTTTCACCCATCCTGCTTTCCTCCTTTCCAATCACAATCAAACTCTTGAGGTCCGAGAGGCTTTTCAACGCTATGCTGAGGGCGTGTGGAAATATAGGATGTTCTGTCTGAGGAACAGCATCAATAAGGCTTCTTGCTTAGATCCGCGACCCCTGGTCTGATCAAGTAGGTGCTCACCGAGGTCCTTTTACTGCCAAAAGCCCTAAACGGAACCCAGCAAAAAAGAAAAACTATGTTTCATGTTCTGCTGGTGAGAGAGGGAGAGGAAGAAGCCGCTGAAATATGAAAAACCTGAATACATTCGTGTGTACTTTTGATTAAAGAGCTAGAAAGGGATGCATAGACAACCCCAACACACTTCACACTGCTCCCAGGTAGAGCAGGATGCTGCACGATACAGTATGACCTTGGTAGAAACAAGCAGTGACCAGTACCTGACTACAGGAAGGATAATTACTGCCCAGCGCCTGGCTATCCAACTATTTAGTGAACTGGCAACATTTTGTTTCCTCTAATGGTCACAAGAACATTTGTTCCTGAAGGTTTTCAGAATGATCTGGCAGGTAAAACATCAGACTGGAGCCAAGAGGAGGAGCTCAGTAATGGGTTTTTAACTTACCTGCTGTGACCTTCAGACATTTGCTGTATCTCTGACTCTTTCTTTCATCAATACTTGATAGTCACTCTTCAGAGTCCAGACTCCCGTGCAACACAGTGAGAGCTGCCAGCACTCTCAGAACAAGTTAGCAGGAATAACAAGGCTGACTAGAGACTCTGGAATTAAATAAGTGTTTTTACTTTCAAGTGTCACAGTGCCAGACTTGTAACTCAAGCTAACAGCAGAATATATAGAGGATACTCAACACAGAGAAACTCAAGCACCTGAAAATTATCAGCCACACTTTACAGCCAGAGAATTCTTCTTACAAGGTTCAACCCCTTACAAAGGTTCACAACACACCAAAAAATGCATTTTGGTCAACAAGAATACGGTTACACAGGTCTAACAATTACTGACACAGGCTCTTCAATTTAAACCTGGCCAGCACCCCTCTCCCCTTTCTACTTCGCAGAGGAAAGCCTCTCACTGAATACTATCCAGATAAAAAGGAAGCATTAATGTGCCAACTTGAATATATATTTAATAACTTAGCACAGATTTGAGACATGGCCATTTAAGTTTTGAATAAGCTCTGAATCCGTGTCAAGAGAGAAACTAACAGGACTCCAACCAGGTATTGATGACCTACAACTCAAGTGAAATAATTAACACATTTACAAGAAGAACAGTTAAGCTATGGCTAAGAGCTGTACATTCCACCTGAAGCTCAGACGTTACTACCAGCATTTCCAGTATGCTAACTCCTTCTTCCCCTACTAGCCATTGATGCGGTAATTCACATGGATTTCAGGTTTGATGTCACACACTAGTGACAACAGCTGGGAGAGGACCACCTCGCGGTTCTTCTGGAAGTTCTGCTGGATTACGCTCATCTTCCCCTGGGTCTCTTTCTCAACCTCAGTGGTGCAGCTGCCATGAGATCCAAGTGCCTACAAATAGCAAAGGAAAGAGAAAGCTCACAGACAAGCAGTTTAACAAAGAAAACACTACACCCAGCTCTGCATTTTGTTATTCTGGGCTGCCTCAGTGCATCTCAATCGTGAATCTTTGCTGAGGGAAGAACTGCACTTAAAAATAAAATAAAAACGTACTGTTGGATTCTCTGCTCAGACTTCCCACTAAACTTGCCCAAGTTTGTATTTCATCCACAGCCCATGCCTGTTATCCTCTTCTATTCATCATCTATCAGTTTAGAGCATGAACTTCTAAAGAATGCCTGAAATAAAGGTCCTGTTGTACTGGCAACCAGAACCGGGAACCCCTGGGCACTACTGTACTAGATAGCGTAAGAAAAGTAACACCCTGACTTGATTTAAGCACAGTCTTCACATCACCCCATTGCTTCTACCCTTGGCGAATCTTTATAAAAATCTCTGCCTCCCTAACAGGCCTGTGGGCCATCTGATATTCACAGCAGTGAGTCTCTCACAGCTTACAATGCCCTTCTTGCCCTATAAGCACAGGCAGAGAGAGCAAACTCCCATTTTAAGTGAGGGGAAAAGGCACAGAAGTATGCTGAAGGAGACTAGCACTGTGGGACTCAAAGAGCTTCCCTCTCTGGAGAAGGCTAAATAAAACAAAACCAGCTGACAGGCAGTGAAGTCCACTTTATTAGCCTGGAATTGGCTGGTATCACACGCCTAGTGAACCAAGCAAATAAGTGACTGTAAAAAATTAATCTTGACCTCCTGAAGGCTATTACGCAGGAGAACAGAGGAGGTGGTATTGTGCTAACCAGAAGATGGACAGCGGGGAGGGTTGCCAGGTCTGAAGATTTCAGGACTAACGGGGCATACAGATGGTGGAAATAACCTCAGCTGGTAAAGGGCCTCAGTTCTGCACCTTTTGGGAATACCTCCTCTTGCTCAGAAGGAAAGAAAGACACACCCCTTGGGACACAGAAGGCAACACTGCTAAGCAGAACAGAAGCCTTACAACTGCTTCAGCAAGAGCACAGCATCTACGAGGCAAGCAGTCTCCACCACATTAACATCACGGAAAACAGCTTGTCAAAGGTGGAATAAGCTTGGGGTTTTTTGACACTGCTACATACAGTAGGTTTTGGGAGGCTGCCACCCATCACGGCACCAGCCAGTATGTGATCTTATTAAACTAATTCACTGCCAGTCAATAGTTCTGGCTGTTGAGACGCAATACACCACGTTCTGATTCACTGCCACTGGTTTTTCCATGACACGTGGCTGTGCATCAGAGGAAGGCAGTTAGGGAAGTACCGCTCTGGCAACACGTTCCACCCCGACAGCTGCTCTCAGGGCAAGTAACCCCGAGCACAAGGCTAAGGGACTGAGTGAATTATCTAGAAAACAAACCGCTGCTTCCTTGGCTTTAAACTCCTTCTCCCTCTGCAGGCGGTACTGCTCGATCTCTGCCTGGGCTTCTTCTTTTGCCTGCTTCAGCCTCCGATTCTTTCCTGTTTGCAAAGGACAAACCAAATAAAACGAAGAAGAGAAAGTATTGAGAGCACATTTCCCCAAATCTCTCCAGATACCCCCCACACAACCATCACTATGGCGTTTGCTATTGCAGGAGCTCCTTCTGCAGCAGGCATCAGCAGGGCACCACCCACCCTTGCAGCCCCTCCAGCTTCTCAGAGTTAACTGACCTCAGGAGCACGAGGTCGGCCCGTGTGCCACCAAACCATCGCTAAGCTCACCAGGCACCGAGCTTCCACCAGTGAGAACTGGAGATGTTCTCTGAGCCAGTGCATGCATCAGGCAGCCCACAGGTCTGGCCTTGCTCATGGGATGGTGCAACATCCCTGGGTGATCCCAAAGGGCACAGCAGAAAGAACGTTAACTCTTAGTTTTGTCTCAGGCCAATTGTGCAACTGATAGAAAAACTGCATCAACTTCCCTCTCGGACTTTCCACAACACCCTCCTCTCCAAGGTTATCATTAAACTGAGTACAACAATCTGCTTCTCACAAAACTGTCAGGGGGTAGAACACAACAGAGTGTGGCTTCATTAAAAAAATAAATAAATAAACACTTGAAGCAGGGAAATCTGAAAAGGTGGGGATCTTTGTAACCAGAATTTATCTTGATTAACAGGAAAAGCTCACTTGGCTCCCCAAGAAGTAGCTTTCTCAGCTCTACAAAATGTCTAACCAGCAACATAGAAATACACTGTTTTCATAGAGGAAAAAAAAATTAGAAGTACGAAAGATGCAGATAACGACAAGCATCCCCCAGCTGAGATGAAGGACAGGGTATTGATGGTGGTCTCCTCCTAGGGAGCAGACCCACCGGGCCAGGAGTCACTGGGCTCCTCCGACACCTTCGCAGGCCTCTCCAGCTACTGACCCGAAGGTTCCCCACTGCTGCCAGGGACCATCCAGCTCCGCTCTCCGCACCTACACAGGGGCCAGGCTGCCGGGGGAGCAGCCCAAGGAGCAGCAGCCCCCCCCGCACTCACCCCCAACCCGAGCAGCCCTTTGGCCTCGCTCTCACCGGCGAGGCCCACA